AGGGAAGGGGAGGAGCAGCTGGACGCCGGATGTCCCAACCCCTTCCCGAGGACATCATCAGAGCATGCCCCATTGCACACAGCATGCACTCTGATGACATCCTCCTGGCACAGCATTTTTACATGCTGCTCAGAAGAGGCACAAAAGAGCCACATAGCGGCTCTTCCAGTGCCCTTTCCATGACTTGGGAAAGGAGCGCTATTTTGGCACTCCTTTCCCAGTCACCAAAAGGGTAGATTGGGGCTGAGGCATGGGGCAGCCTCGGCCCCAATCCTCTGCTTCTGATGATGGCCCATGGCTGCATCCCTCCCAAGCTTGCATCAGAAGAAGTGGGCTGTGGCCTATGAAATACATTCATTAGTCTTAAAAGTGCTGCAAGATTCCTTTGTTTCTTTGCACTTGATGCACTGAAGTATACTAACATAGCTATCAAAGATCTGTAGGCAAAGTGTTAATAGGGTTTGGTGACAAGGATCATACAACTCTCCTTCTCCAAGATCTCTACTTAGGAAAGTTGGAGGAAAGTAGAAAGAGAGGAAGGCCACATGCTAGATGGATGGACTTTATTAAGGAGACCAAGAATATAAGTTTGCAGGAGTTGGGCAGAGCAGTAGAGGACAGCGGGCCTGGAAATGTCTTATCCATAGGGTCGCCATGGGTCGAGATCGACGCAAAGGCTGTTAATAGCTAGTTTTTTCCTAGCTGCCCTTCCCATTCCTTATCTTCTGACTTCTTGACTGCAGTCTCCTTCCTAATCAATGTTTGATCCAAGGTATAGGAACTCTTTTATGGCTTTGATTTCCCCATTGTCTAAGTTGAAAGCATGTAGGTCCTCTGTGGTCATTATTTTTTATTATTACTGCATTTAAAAAAAAAAAAACGAAGAGAGTGCACTTATACATGATGTGGAAATCACTTTAATTACATTGGATAATAAGATCTGTAAGAATGCATGCAATCATCAGGTGAATCATATTGACAGTGTATCTATGCTACATAGTACTAGTCTACATGTAAGCGTACTATGCGAAATGGTGCTCATTTTCACACATTCACATTAAAAGTTGATTGTCTTCATTTTCCTGTGCATCTATTCATCCTCCCTCTGCCAGAAATGTGCAGCCATCCAAATGCATGCCAAGCAGAAGTACAGTCACACATCAGATAATGCACATTTCTGTGGATTTGAGCAGATATTCCAGTAAAAACTGCAAAGCCTTTTCCCACAGAATTTGAGTTCCCCCTCCTGGCCCTGGCAAAAATCCCAAACTCCTGTTAATTGTTCCCCCTCCTGGCCCTGGCAAAGTTCCCCCTCCTGGCCCTGGCAAAAATCCCAAACTCCTGTTAATGTGGCTGGATCACATTCTATTTGACTGGAGATTAGCCCTTAGTTGTAATAGTCTCACTCTTAAGTAGCATGGCTGCATCCTACAGAATCTTGGGATGTATAAACTTCTCTGCATTGTTGTTGTTGTTATGCACCATCAAGTCATTTCCGACTTATGGCAACCTTTCTGGTTTTCTTGGCAAGATTTGTTTAAAGGAGGTTTGCCATTGCCTTCCCCTGGGGCTGAATGGCTGTGCCTTGCCCAAGGTTACTCAGTGGGTTTCGTGATCGAGCGGGGAATTGAACCTTGATCTCTAGAGTCATAGTCCAATGCTCAAACCACTATGCCACATTGGCTCCACAGAATTCTTGCAGAATTCTCTGTGAGGAACCTCTAATGTTTTAATTCAGGGATGTCCAGTAGAGCTCTGCAGTTTTACCTCAACTAGCATCCCATGATTTCATAGGAAGACCCGGGACACTTCACTTAAAGTGGTATCAAACTGCTATAATTTTGTAGTGTAGTACTTTATATGTCTAAGTTCAGTATTTTGTCTCCAAGAAGAGCCTGGACATATATCATAAAGAACTCACAAGCCATGTGGTATTCAGCAGTCAGAAGCACACTTCTCTAATTACAGAGCCTTTAGTTTAGCTTTTCATGGCTAATGTTAGGTTATCATAGCTAATGTGCATTGATATTCTTCATGAATTTTTCTGGAAATTAAGGCGCAAAAACAATTGAATTTAGAGGGATATAATTGCAACTGGTTCTCGTACAGACAAATATGGGAATGTTTTTGAATTGGAATTGGAAATAATTAAACCCTCAATGATAAAATGGGCTCAGAATTTTGGATACACAATAGAGTTATCTCAATAGGAGAAATGTTGGTTAAAGAGACCAAAATATACTCTTAATTATAATTTAAAGGAAATTTTTTATAAAATGATGTATCGATGGCATCTTACCCCGGATCAACTTGCCAAGATGCACAAAACATATTCAAATCTTTGCTGGAAATGCAAGGAAAAAATTGGATCTTTTTACCATCAATGCTGGAAATGTAAGAAAGCAAAAGCATTTTGGGCAATCATAAGATCTACCCTAAGTGAGATTTTAGACTACAACCTTAAATTAGACCTTCAATGATTTTTATTAGGAATGTGCCCTGACAAAATATTGGGAAAAAAATATGGGAAATTAATTTTTTACTCTTTTTCAGCCTCCAGGTTGCTATATGTCACAAGGTGGAAAATGAAAGAATTTCCACTTTTATGGGATTGGATTTCAAAAATGTTTGTGTTCATGGAAATGGACAAGCTCACAGGTATGATTAGAGGAGTCAATCATGATGTATTTGAGAAAGACTAGGAACCTTTGATTAATTTTTTTTGCTCTGAGAAGTATCAGAATAAAATCTAGATGATTTTGGCTTAGAAGAACAAGATGGGTTACTTTTAAAATGCAATGGAGCTAAAAGTTTGGAATATACGAATAGTTATTATGACTGGAAGGAAATTAAGTTTTTTTTTCTTTTTCTTTTTCTTGTTTTTTATATGACAAATTGTTATTACCAGTAATATGTTATAATATATTAGTTGACGAGTATACTAAGGGCCTTGGCAGACAAGGCAAGGAAGAGGAGGGGCAGCCACATGAGCGGCGCCCCTTCCTCCTCCCGAGGTTGCCCTCGGAGCTGCCGGCCCTCCGCACAGCCGGCGCTCCGGGGGCAACCTCCCGCTGCAGCGTCCTCACACGCTACGGCGGAAAAGCCAGGGAAAGTGCGCCCTACGTGTTTAGGGTGCACTTTCCCTGACTTCTGAAAGGAGCGCTATTTTTGCGCTCCTTTCAGGGACACCGTCGGTGCGCCGCGGTGCGGATGCCATGGTCCCATGGCACACCATCCCAGGGCGTCCCAGATGCCCTGGTCTGCATCCCCCCTCAATGACAGAATTCATTTTTAATGATAACACATATAGAAGTCAAACACTTCAGACATAATGACAAGATGTACTAAATGAGGAAGTCATCTTTATTTTTTATTTTTGTTTATATATTTTTTCTACCTTCTTTATTATTACTGTATACAACATAGCTACAATATATACAAGGAACAATGTACAACTTAGTAATAACAATATTGAAGATTTCTTTTTTTATTGTTAGAGTAATTTACTTTTTTCAATATTGATTGTTATTTTGAAATTGATATGTATACAAGTAATTTCTGTATTTTGCTCTTTTCTTGAGTTTTTAGTTTGTTTTTTGTTTATTCTGTTTTTAATCAATAAACTTTTGTTAAAAAACATATTCTTCATGAATTTTTCCATATTTTCTTTTTTTATAGATAACTGTGCGCTTTTTGAACTTTGCTGTTTTTGTTGGAAAAGAAATGAAGTTTGTTCCTTGTTTCTTTTGAAATGAAGTAGAGGAATTAAACAGTGCTTCAGGATGTATTCTTATACATGCTTGCCTGGGAGGAAGACTCATCAATGTCAATTGGTCTGATTTCTAAATGGACATGCACAAGATCCTCTGCTCAATCATGTCCATTTTTTGGTGATTTTTTTCACTCAGCATCACAGATCCCAAAACCATTTCTTTATAAGCCAAGATATTCTGGTTGTCTTCCCTTATCAAAACAAAATAAAATGATAGATGTTGTTGTGTTAACATTGGGCTGGCTTTGCAGAACATATTATTTTATCAATAGCTCTACCAGTTACAGCTGTCTGCTCTGAAACCAACTCACTTAAAAAGGACAATTTAATGTCCTCTAGCCTGAAATAATGGAAACATAGCCAGCAGTTCCATTTCTGTAAGCAAAATACCTTTAATCAAGTCTGGTTTACCAATTATGCATTAAAAGCTTTCAAACTCCCACAAGGAAAAAGTAATAATGAAGATGCTGGGACATGATTGGAGCATGGCCATTTAAAGCCAAGAATTTGAATCTACCAGCAATTATCTGAAGCCATCAGAAAACCCGGCAGATATACTTTTTAAAAAAAAAATAAACACCAAAAACGTACTTTTATCAGGACAGGAGCAAGATGTTTTGCTGCTTGAGCTGAAGGACAAGATGGAACAGATTGGCAGTTGAATCTAGAATTTGGGAAACTTCTTTCTTTTTTGGATTACAGCTCCCAGAATCCCCCAGCCAGCATGGCTAGTTGGCTAGGTAACATGAGAGTGATCTTTCATATGCCGAGAGTGGCAGGCTGGTTTATGAGATGCAAGATAAGCCTTGTGCCTCATGCAACACTGTTCTCTATCACATAATTCCTCCTTTTGCTGCAGCTCACTCATTTTGTCCAATTATAAGGCTGGCTCTGAATTGTGAGGTCTTTTAAAACTTAACTAAGAGCCGGCCTGGAGGCAGAGATTGGGTGGGGTAGCCACACATCAGCCGCCCCAACCCCAGGCCAATGCCGTGCACCGTTACGCCCAGCGCGCGTCATCAGGATGCCCTTCTGGCACAGCGTTTTGATGCACTGTGCCAGAAAGGGCACTAAAGAACCATGCACCGGCTCTTAGAGTGGCAAAAGAGAGGATTGGGGCTGTGGCATGTAGTTGCCACAGCCCCGATCTGCAGCTAACAGGGGTAGCTCAGAGCTGCCTTTCTGCATAGCCCCTAAGACACATAGAATATTCCCCAATGATATCCAGATAACATATCAGGGACAGGGCACTTTATTTTTTAATCAAAAGAGATACCCAACTGAATTAAGTCAGCAATCAGTACATTTCATAACTGTGTTTGGCAGGTAATGGATGAAGCAATTGAACAATCTATAGTTTGTCAGGATTTCATATCCTTCATATCATATGGAAGATCAATTTGACATCAAAAAACAGTGAGCTATGTTTGTATATTCTATCTCTCTTGCAAGGAGCTCAAGGTACCACACATAGGCCTAAATCCCATTTTTAGTCCCAATAAAGTGCACCCATTGAATCAGAGAGAGTTGGGTAAGAAAACACCACCTCATGTGGGTGACTCTCAAAAATATCAGTGATTTTCCCAGTACAGAGGAAAAGAGGGACATGGAGTAATCCTTCAGTTCTCTTTGCTCATTAAAGTTAAAACCTGGATACCTTTCAGCATCACTCTTCCTCCCACTTGGAAATGTCCCTAGGTTGCAAGGGAATCCTCACTGTTATCTCTAATCACTGACTGGAAGTAATGATAAGAATTCCAATTAGAAGTGCTTTGTTGTTGCTGTTGTTGTTGTTGTTTTCCTTCAAGTCATTTCTGATTTTTTCCCTAAATTGAACCTATCAATAGGAATTCCAATTAGAAGTGCTTTGTTGTTGTTGTTGTTGTTGTTGTTGTTATTGTTTTCCTTCAAGTCATTCCTGATTTTTTCCCCTAAATTGAACCTATCATGGAGTTTTCTAGGAGTGAAAGTGTGGCTTGTCCAAGGTCAGCCAGATGGCAGCTTTGTTTATCTCATGCCAATTCCCATTGGTAGAATGCAAGGTGGGCAAAGCACAACTAAAGGCAATTATTAAGGGAATTTCCTATTGTTTTCACAAATCATTCATCAGAATTAACAGCTAAGATTTCTCTGTACATACTGGTCTTTCTAACTGGGGGTGATGGAAGCTGAAGTCCAACATATCTGAAGAGTACCACTCTGGGACAGGCTAATTTAAAATGACAAATATATCAGCACAACCCTCTGAAAGATAAATCTGATGGAAAGCTATATGCTGATCTACACATTAGTTCAGGGACATGGATCTGGTAATTTAATATCGGAATTGGCAAAGAGCATATTCCTCAATCACCTGTAGTATTATATTATTCCTATATAGCTCCTTGTACACCAACTGTCTAGTTCTATAAAGTGCATTCCTTTCATCAAGTACATTTCAATGGGGAGACATCAAGATGCTTCCACCAACATGCAATGTAGTACTATCAGTTACAGTCCTATGAACTTTACAGATACATGATTTGTGTATGATTTGCATTGTTGATGCAGTCTACTAATGGGATTTTTATAGTAGCTATGGGCATAGTGTCCACTTATGTCAATTACACTTCTTCTGCCAAAATATCTTTCTGGTTTAATTTAGACTACTCATTGAGGAATGTGGTATGTTTTGTGGTAACTACTGCATCTGTCACCCACCCCTTGCCCTGTTTACAGCCAAGAAATCATAGCTTTCAAGCTTTGGGGAGTTCATACAATCTCTGGCCCACCCACAACTATTATTTTCACAAAATGCTAACATCAACCAAGAAACATTGCTCAAGATCCTGTTTAATCTTGGGGGAACAGAAAGCTTTTTTGGTGCAGGCCAATATCACACTACACCGTTCTAACACTATTATTCCACTTTA